ATATAAACTTTATTCCAATAATGAACCTCCACCACCAGCGAGCAGCAGCAGCGAAGACAGCGATGACAGCAGTAGCAACAACTACACTTTATGCCGCAGTATAGCGTCAGTAGATTGTTTGCTTTCCTTCAGGCGGTCGGACGGTCGCTTAACATAGCCAGCCAGCCTCTATGATGTTGTGAGAAGTCAGTCAGTTAGTCAGTCAGCCACTCGGAGTCGTATGTTTTGCGGCGCTATATATTTTGAATTGTTATTTTTTTATTTAATTTTTTTTTGAAGTGATATCGGAGGAAAAAAATTAATGCTAATTATTTTTTTTTTAATATCTCAAAACAAAAAAAGAACCCGGTATATGTATTACGTTTCGTCTTATCTCGGTGGTGCTGAAAAAAAATACAAAAAAAACATTACGTCGTCGTCGTGACTTCTCCGATATTTACTTTGGAATTCTTAAGTGTCTTCCACGACTTTGTTCGCAACAAACATTCGCGTTCGAAGATAAAAAAAAATAAAATTGGAAATGAGTTGCCTTTTTCCCTTTCTCATGGTAGGTTTGGCAAGTACTCATCACTCCCTCTCCCAGTCGAAATCACAACAGCCACTAAGCGATAGCTCCCTTCATCGAGATATTGGTTTTCAATATTCTTGTTGTTTTTGGTTAATTGAATAGCAAAACGAAATTGCATTAGCACAAACTTGATTAAACGTCAATCAACATTCGTTCGTTCCTGAAACGTCCAGCAAGTGTTTAAACGTTTTATACCCCCACAACAAGTTTTCAAATCAATTTCATATTCCGGGAAACCAAAAGAAAACTATTTACCCCTACCCAACAGCCTAACAGTGTTTGTGTGAAGTGAAAATTCCCAACCTTTTGGGACGAAAATTTTTGAATAGAACCCCAACCTGTGTGATCGTATTTGGTAATATTCACTTGCTCGGCTCTCCTCAGAACAGAAAGAAATTTGTGCGATAAAGTGCCTTTGTTGTGTGAAATGGAATTTCTGGAAGATCCCAAGTGCAATTCGAACATAGGTTCTACATAAAAGAGAAATTATTTTAAATTAAATCGAAAGAAAAAAATCTGAATAAATCAAATAAAAGAAAAATTCCGAATAAATCAAATATGGAAATAAAGAAATGGGAAATTTCGCAAAAAAAAATATCGCAATTGTGATCCTCCCAATTTGAACATAAATTCTACATAAAAATGATAATATTTTTGAAGTTTCTGAATAAATCAAGTATGGAAAGAAAAACAAAAAAGTGGGAATTTCGCAAAAAAAATCGCAATTGTGATCAGGCCTTTCGCCACACAACTTCCGAAGAGAGTGAATCAGAAGGCATTAATCAGCTGATAGACGGACTCATCAACAAGAAATATGGCCTATACTCTGGGGGGAATTTTGGAAAAAGTTTCTGAAGAACTAAATGTGGACAAAGGGCGACAGAATTAGAAAAAAAATCACATATTTTTCCAAGGCCCATCAGAGTCAATTTCGTGGATTGTTGGACCTATTTTTTCAAAGATCAAATAAAGCAAAATTTACGATTTTAACTAATTTTTTGTTCAGGAACCTTGAAGGTTACTCAACATATGGTCTATTCTCGGAGGAATTTTGGAAAAAGCTTCTGAAGAACTAAATGTCGATTTTTTAAAGATAAAGGGCGAAAAATCCTTTTTTTCCCAAGGCCCATCAGATTCATTTTTCAATCTATTTTTTCAAAAATTTACGATTTTAATTTTTTTTGTTTAGGGACCTTGAAGGTTCCACCCAGGGAAAAGCCCTATTTTTCAAGATCCAACTGAAGCAGATTTTTTTGAGCTATTCAAGCTTTCTCTGAGAGCAAAAAAAGGGAATTTTAAGCCCTTTTTCAAGGAAAACATATTTTTTCTCAAGGCCCTTGAAAGTTCCACCGAGTCAAAAACCCTAATTTTATTGGCGAGGTATTTCCAGCATCTGAGAGCAAAAAAATTGAATTTTTAAGCCCTTTTTTAAAGGAAAAATAAATTGTTAACCAAAAGTTTTCAAGAATCATACGGGACAAAAATCAGTTTTGATCTGGCCTTTCGCCACAAAACTTCCGAGGAGTGTGAATCAGAAGCCATTAATCAGCTGATAGACGGACTCATCAACAAGAAATATGGTCTATACTCGGGGGGGAATTTTGGAAAAAGTTGAATGAAAATAAAATCCTACTTTTCAAGGACCTATTGTGATCTGTGATTTGAAATGTTAGATTTGGTTGAACCTATTTTTTCAAAAATCATTTGAAGCAAAATTTTAGATTTTTATTAATTTTTGGTTCAGGGACCTTGAAAGTTCCACCGAGGCAAAAGCCTAATTTTTTTCAAGGACCAACCAAAGCAAAAATGTTGATTTTTGGAGAGCTATTTCTAGTATCCTCTGAGAGCAACAAAACGTGAATTTTTAAACCTATTTTTCCAAGGAAATATCTGGGCAAAATTTTTGGATTTTTAGCACACATGTTTTGAATGTTCCTCCGAGGCATTTTCATTTTTTTTCAAAGCCCGTCAGAGTCAATTTCTGTATTGTTGAATCTTTTTTTTTTTTTGATCTGAAACAAAATTTTATATTTTTTTCAAGGAACATCTGAGGCAAAATCTTGGATTTTTTGCATACATATTTTGAAGGTTTCTCCGAGGCAAAAACCCTAGGTTTTTAAGGTTCAATTAAGCATAATTGTTGATTTTTGGAGAGCCTTTTTAATTATCCTCTGAGAGCAAAAAAATGTATTTTAAGGCTATTTTTCAAGGAAATATCTGAGGCAAAAAAGTGAATTTTTAAAACTATTTTACCAAGAAAACATCTGAGGCAAAATTTTGGATTTTTTGCCCACATATTTTGAGGGTTCCTCTGAGGCAGAAAACTTAATTTTTTTAAGGAAAATCTTAGATAAAATCCTAATTTTTTAACCAATTTTTCAAGGACTATATTAGATAAAAAATGTTGGATTTTTTGCACACATATATTAAAGATTTCTTCGAGGCAAAAATCTCAATTTTTTCAAGGATCAACTTAGGCAAAAATGTTGATTTTTGGAGAGTCCTTTCAAATAGAAAAAATCTTAAGTCGCAAATTTTCCAAGGACCATATTAGACAAAAAAAAAACTTATTTTTTGAAATATTTGGAATAGTTAGATTTTTTAATATTTTAGATTTTTTCACATAAGGATTTTTTTCAACGCCGAACCAATCTAAATACCAAGATTTTTTAAAGATATTTTTAAGGCCAAACTTGGATTTTTCAATCATTCCTTTTCTGGACCACCCACCCAAAACCATTTTCAAGCAACATCTGAAGCAAAACTTAGATTTTTAAACCCAATTTTTCAAGGACCATTTGAGAAACATGGATTTTTAAGTAATTTTTAAGGGCCATCTCAGTCTAACACCTGAATTTTTTAAATATTTTTTACGAATCGTTTCAGGACCATCAGGTGCAATATCTTACATTTATAGTACATTTTTTCAATGACCAAAAGTGCAAAAGAATTGGATTTTTTTTTAATTTTTTTAATTTATATGAATAATTTTTTTCAAGGGCTTTAAGCTTAGGATTTTTTAGGCTCTTTTTTTAAAGACCCAAAACTTGGAATTAAAAAAAAGTCCAAAACCCAAATATGTCAAAGATTGTTTTTCCCCCCAAGGACCAACACAGCCCAATTAGTGATTTGTTTATATAATTTTTTTAAGAAATTTGGGATTTTAAACATATTTAAACATATATTATAGAAAACATGCATATTTAAATAAGTTATTTTTTCTCTGAACCTTAATCCTGTATCTTCTCTATCGAAACCTTAAACATGGATTGTTTTGATTTGATTTTTTTTTAACGTGGATTTCTTTAAAAAATTATTTTTGCTTGAATTCTTTAAACATTTTTTTTCAAGTACCAATTGGTTTTTTTAAATTAAATAATTCAATATCATCTGAAACTTAAATGAGATTTTTATGGTGGCTACAGAGGGCATATATCATTCGATACATCCAAAACATGCCTCATCTAAATAACGATTATATTAGACCAAATCTATTTTAGAACACTTGGAGTCTATATATGGGTGTCCACCCGTAGGTCTCACGAAGGGAGTATCCCATTTAAATATTACGATTCGTACATGGTAATATTTAAATCAAACTTAGATTGAGTTCGGAGATGAGTAATATCGGTCCACTCCTTCTTGTACCTCCCCCACAAAGGGTCATCATTTTGAATTAATATATATCTCTCATAAAACGCGAAAGGAGAAACTCACTCTTTTCAAAATCGGCACATCCCAATATTTCGGTCAATAGAAGATATAGTAAGAAGAACGGGTATATCGGATCACTCCTTCTGGTACCTCTCCCACAAGAGGTTCAAGAATTTGAATAATCCAAACGCTCACAAAATTCAAAAAAAAAAAAAAAAAACATCCGATTCCCTTCAAATTCTTAACATCCCAATATTTTTATTAACACAATAGCTCGTGTGAAGGTCGTATATATCAGCGCACTCCTTTTGTTACCTCCACCACAATGAGTCAACATTTTAAATAGTTATATATCCCATAAAAAAAAAAACAAATAAGCATCCGATTCTCTTAAAATGTCACAAATTCCAAATTCCATCAACACAAAATCAAGTGTGAAGACGGGATACATCGGCCCACTTCTTCTTGTAATTCCCATACAAAGGGGTCAACATTTTGAATGACCCAATGCGAAATAGGCATCCGAATCTCTTTAAATGTCACAAATCCAAAAATATATACTAACCCTCGATATAGTGTGAGGATGATAGACATCGGCTTGGAATTTTTCGTTACTTAAATTTGAAACCAACCGGTCAATTTCGCAATTGTAATCGTTTTTAACGAAATTCGCACAATCTGTTGTTTTTCTCTTTCTCTCCTCATCAATATTTCTTTTTTTTTTTGTAAATCCCCCTTCGATTTCTAATCATTCTTTGTTTTCCCATTATCTTTACAGGCCAGTTCCGGCAAAATGGATGGTCTATCGGAGATTGAACAAATTGTTAAAGAAAAGACAGTAAGTGAAGCGTAATTTCATTATTTCCACTTTACATTTTTCTTATGAATGCTTCTTCTCTTTTTTCTCTCCCCCTCCCCTCACCTTCAGGAAAGACACGAGGAAAAATCAAAAATTCTCAGTGAGAGCAGTAGTAATAATCGAAGTGGTGGAGGAACAGCCAACAACAGCAGCAGCAACACAACAAACAGTGATTGTACAACAACAGGTGGTGGTGGCATGGCTGGTGTTATGGACAATATCGATTCCATGTATCCGAATTGTGGTGACAACAATACCACCAATAACTCATGCACAGCCAATGCAGCAGCGTCGTCAATGATGATGATGACAGCAGGCACAACGTTATCCTCTACCACCAACACCTACAACTCATCATCAGCATCGGCGGCATCATCATCTGCAGCAACGGCAACAACGGCGGCGTTAGGCAATGCTGCCGGCGTTGTTGAAAATAATGACGAAGTAAATTATAATTTTTAAAATATAATTTTTTGAAATTTATATAAACTTAAGCAAAAACCCCCCCCTCTATAAAACCACCCACACATAGAACAATAGCACAACCGCAACAACAACATCAACAGCACCATATGCGGCCGGTGAAGCAAATGATGAAAATGATTTGTCTTCAACAATACAAAAGCATAGATTTCCCGCACTAGTCGAGCTATTGACAACCGAGGAAACGTACATCAAGGATTTGGGTGATATTGTTAATGGGTAAGTGGAGAGTTCTTCTTAAGAGAAACAGTTTATAAGTCTGCTACCTCGTCGCAGGGATGGAAAAACGTTTTTTGTGCGTTTTTAAAATGTCTGGAATGCGCTATGTTAAAAAAAACTATCGCAGGAACTACCATAGTTTTTATATAGGCTGAATACCTTCTAAACATCTTCAACCTAAGATAGACTTCTTACCTATAGCTAAAAGACATTTGCAAGGCCTTCTGTAGATCTAAATGCATTCCAAAATGCTATTATATACAGAAGTGTCTTTAAACGTCTGCTATAGACAGCGATGAATGGCCTTTTGAAGACCTTATAAAAGTATCTCTTAGGAAGAGGAAATATCACAGTCCAATATAGGCTAACGAATTTCTAAACGTTATTTTCCTAGGATAGACTTCTTCTTCTAGAGATAAAGAGGTCTCCTGTAGATTTAAAGACATTCTAAAATTCTTCTATAGACCCTCTAAATGTCTTCTATATATGGATGAATTGTTTAAGGTGTCCTAAACATAAATCACCTGTTAAATGTCTTCCTATGATTGAAGAACTTCTGAAGGTTTTGTACAGGTCTTTTATATACAGAAGACCATCTGCAGGTCTCTAGTAACAGAAGTTTCTTTAAAGGTCTTCTATTAAGGAACGATTTTTTGTGAGGTGTCCTACAAATAAATCGACTTTCCTTCTTCCTTAGATTGAAGACCTACCAAAGATTTTCTAAAACCTGAAATCTTTCTACAGGTCTTTTATAGACAGAAGGTCATCTGCAGGTCTTCTGTTGACAGAAGACCTCCCAAAAATCTTTTATAGAAGGTCTTTATTATGAGTAAAATTTTCCAAAGTTATTTTGAAGATAGTAGGCCTTTTAAAATTCTTCTTTAGACATAAATCTCTTAAAGATCTTTTCTATATAGAAGACCTTAAGAAAGCATGATATCAAGAGAATTTCGGAGGTCTTCTCTACAAGGACTAAAAGCCTGTTATAAATAGAATATCGTCCAAAAAATCGTAGATATGATTGGGTCTTCAACAGACACATATTTTTTAATGTCCTCTATGATCAGAACCTTATTAAGATCTCATATACAAGACCTTCTATGGATAGATGACCTTTCACAGGTATTTTACAGAAAGGAGAACTATTGAAGAACTTCTTTATTAGACATAAACCTTCTAAATCTTCTATATAATCTTGTTCTAATGGTCTTCTTTACATCGAAGACATTCCAATGTTCTTTTACAGATGGAAGACCTGTTTAAATCCTTCTTTGGGCATAAATAACCCTTCTTCTTCAGACCTTCAGAAGATCTGATATCAATAGGTATTTAGAAGTTATACTATGTAAAGACTAAAAGCCTGCTATAGATGGAATACCATCCAAAAAAATAGAAAAAATTGTTAAAGATCTTCAACAGACAGATCGTTTTTTACATGTCCTCTATGATGAGGTTATCTTCTCCTATAGAAGACTATCAGATCTTCAAACATACACCTCCTAAAAGTATTTTTTATATATAAAACATTTTAAAGATCTTCTATCGATAGCTGACCTTTTTAAGTCTTCCTCTAATAGATTTATAAATCGTAGCCTTTCAAAAAAAAACTGTCTTAGATGGAATGTCTTTTTTAGTCCAAAGGTATTTTCCCGGAAGGAGAACTCTTAAAGATCTTTTTTTTAGATATAAACTTCTTCTTTAGCTATAAGAGCTTCTAAAGATCTTCTATCGATACCGATCTCAAGGTCTTCCTCTAAAAGATTTATAGATCGGAGCCCTTCTGAAGGTGTGTCTTAGATGGAGGATTGCTCAAATGTCTCCTATAGGCCGAAGACATTTTTAATGTCTTCAAAAGATAGAAGACGTTCCATAAGTCCTGTGTTGATAGAATGGCTTCTAAAAGTCTATAGAAGGCATTCCTTGGATAGATGACCTTTTCACAGGTATTTTACGGACAGTGGAACTTTAAGACATAAACTTCCTAAAAATCTTCTTTAAATACAAGACCTTCTAAAGATCTCCCATTGATAGCCAATTATTTTAAGGTCTTTCTCTAAAAGATTTTAAGATCGAAACCCTTCTAAAGATCTGTCTTACATGAAGGACGGCTCAAATGACTGCTAATTCAATGACCTTTCAAAGGACTTCAATAGATGAAAAAGGTTCCAAATGCATTAGATAGAGAACTTTCCAAAAGTATTTTAAAGACAGGAGAACTTCCTAAATATTTTCTTCACATACAAGACCTTCTAGAGATCTCCAATCGATCGACTTTCTCTAAAAGATTTATAGATCGAACTACTTTTGAAATCTGCCTTACATGGAGGACTGCTAAAAATGTCTGCTAGTTCAATGAAAGGTCAATTAAAGGTCTTTTACAGACAGAAGGCCTTCCAAAGGTAATCTAATAGAATGCCCTCTAAATATCTTCTAGGGACAGTGAACCCTTTATAGGCCCTTGATCGTCAAAAAACTCTCAGAATATCTTCTACCGACAGAAGACCTTCTAAAGGTCTTTCATAGAAAGAAAATATCGTCCAAATGTCTGCCATATCCAAAGAACTTCTAAAGGTTTATAGATATAAAATGCTGTGTAAAGATTTAAAGGTAAAATACCTCTTAAAGGCCTCTCTCTATAAGTGCAAATTAATCCAATGACGTATCTTAAATAGAAGTGCTGCTAAAGGTCTTCTGCAGATACAAGGCCGTCTAAAGGTCTCTAATTTATGGATGATTTTCTATTTTATAGATGGAAGACCTTTTAAAAGTCTTCCATGGTTTTCAAAGCTACAGGGGTTCTACTCATAAAACACCTTCAAAATAACATCTACAAATTAAAAGCCTTACAAAAGACTTCTACATGACTTCGATGCATAGAAAACCTTCTAAAGGACTTCTTTGCAAAGAGGATCATCTAAATATTTTCCATTAATTTATATATTGCCTTGTAAAGGATCCATATACCTAGAAGACCTTCCGAAAGTCTTCTACACATGGAACCTTCCCTTCTAAGAGACGTAGAAAGATAGAAGATGATCTCAAACCGATATTTGCTTGAAACGACCTCTAAAGACGCTTTAGTTGGTGATCAAAAGGAAGAAGTCCCTTAGAGGCTTCTTTAATTTTTTTTGGAAAACCTTCTATGGGTGTTGTCTTTTGGTAGACCTAAATACTTTTTGTTATGTTCAGTTTTCCATCCCTGTTCTGCCTTTTATATGTTAGTCTATACATAGAAATCCATCAGAGTGCCTTCCCCAAAAAAAAGGACCTTCAGAAGGGGCTTTGAATGCCTTATTATAACTTCTTCTTTAAGTCCTCTTTAACACTTCCAAACCCCGAAAACCTTTTCTGGGTGTGGTCTTTTGTTCATCGTAAATAGTTTTTGTTAGCTTCGGTTTTCCATCCCTGATCTGATATCCCTGACCAAAAACCTATTATTAGAATAATGCGTAGGATTTATTCATATTAATAATGTTGTTGTTATTGTTACAATTTTAATTTCAACTAATGCGAATATTTCCACACCAGGTACATTAAGGAATTGCGAAGTGGTGATATACCATTGCCAAATGATTTAAGAGGACCCAAAGGACAAATAGTTTTTGCCAACATTGAAGCCATTTATGAATGGCACAGAGAGTGAGTTGTTATTATTACAATTTAATTAATTTAATTATATTTTGTTCGTCATTTTTAACCATCTTCTTTTGTGCGTCAAAATTTTGTAGCTATTTCCTCAAGGCCTTAATCCAAAGTCAAAAAACCCCCTCTGAGCTGGGCAACATGATCAAACGCTATGAGAATAAATTCCAAATGTATATTACGTATTGCAACAACAAACCCAAATCGGAACATATTGTCACCGAACATGTTCAATATTTTGAATTGGTGCGACAGAAGTTGGGCCATCGTTTAGAGGTAACGTTTATTTTTTTGAATATTTTCCAAATTTTTTTTTATTATTTTTTTAACAATAATCCGCAATGTTTTGTTTCTCGAAATCTTTAGCTAAGTGATTTGCTTATAAAACCTGTACAAAGATTACCCAAATATGTCCTACTCTTGACGACCATAACCAAACAAATTGAAAATGCCGGCCTGATGGAAGATGTGGCCAGCATGAAGGAAGCATGTAATGTAATGAATGTAAGTATTTGAATTAGGAAAAATAGGGTATATTAGCTAATGGGACGAGGGATTCTAGACATAATTTGACGCCCAATCAGTTTTTGAGTATCGAGTCGAAATTACTCAACTGATTATGGCGGCTATGTCAACTCAGGCTAATAGGCCAACGAGTTTTAGGCTTTTAATTTTATTTATACGTCTTCTTGTTCTTCCTTTTCAAGAATTTTATTAATACCTTTTATTTAATTTTCCCCCTATTTCCCCTCTATTCCCCAGGCCATTTGCAAAGATGTCAATGATATTATGGTACTGCGACGTCTCAAAAATTTCGATGGTAATATCACGGCCCAAGGCAAATTACTGCTACACGGAACGCTGACATGTCTGGAACAGGGCAAAAATGCCACCGAACGCAAGACCCGTGAACTCTATGTATTTCTATTCGATCAGGGTATCTTCTTTACCGAAAGACACAATGCTAAAGGGCAGTTTTCAAGTCCTACCTACATCTATCGATCACACATACAGGTGAGTAAAATTCATATAAAATAATATACGAACATGAATATAAAGGGGGATTTTTTAAGAGCTATAGGCCAGCTTTTTGAAGGAAAATTCAAATATTTAGGATGTGGTCTTTATTTGAATTGATAGTAGGATCCATATAATTTTATGTTTGAGGGTGTTTTCATGGAAATGTTGACCATTATTACCACAGAGGTGGTAATAGGCCTCAGCAGTCAAAATAATTTTTCGATGGAAATCCGGGTAATTTTTAAGGATTCAAAGTTGTTGATGATCAACCGGACTTCTTGAGATTCTAATTGGCAAACTGTGATTCCAACATAATCACATATTTTTTTTTGAGAATTTAAATAATTTTAATGCGTTTTTGATGCCAAACCTACTCAACTCATTCCAAATGACCTTTGGCTACAGCCTATCAGAGTAGCTGATTTCTTAAATCTGGATGTTGAAACAAACTCCGGACATACAAAAGCAATATTTTTTCTTTCTGATGTGGGCCTAATTATTCAAGATGACTTTCATGACTTGGAATTCCATTTCTTTTTTAAGGATCTAATCACAAAGTTGCAGAGAATTTAAATAATTCCAATACGTTTTTTGATACCTGATGCCAAAACTACCCAATCCACTCCAGATGATCATTGGCTATAGCCTATCAGAATAGCTGATTTCTTAAATCTGGATGTTGAAGCAGTTTTTAAACTCCGAACATATGTTTCAGCTACAACAGCAATATTTTTGATATAACCGCCAAGGTGGCAATGGGCCTAATTAGTCGAGATGATTTTTTTCAAGGATTCAAGCACGAAGTTTTTGATTATCTCCCGGCCTTCTGGAGAATCTTCTTTGCAAACTGTGATTACAAAATGTTCACAATTTTTATATCCTCAGCCACAGAGGCCATATATCATTTGATATGACCAAAACGTGCCTCATCGAAAAAACGGTTTTAAAACCTAGGTCTCTTTGGATCAAATCCGTTTAAGGACATTTGGAGTCAATTTAGAGATGTCCGTTCGTCCATCCGTCCGTCTGTCTGGGTGACTATTGCGTACTCTAAGTCTCGAAGGGATTATACGATTTGATCCAAACTTGGTAAATCGTAATATTATTATCAAACTTAGATCGACCTCGGAGATGGGCAATATTAGTCCTCTCCTTTTGGTAGACATTTTCAAAAAAAAAATATTTTACTGCACAGAAAGAGAAATGGTAATCCGATTTTGCTCCAACTTTGCAAATCTTAACATTTGCATTAGTGCAAGGTCAGGTGCTAAAATTCACAATATCGGTCCACTCCATCAAGTTCCTCCCCCACAAAAGGTCAACATTTTGAATAATTATAACTCTTATAAAATGAGATGAATCGGACTGTTCCTTTTGGTACCTCCCCCAGAAAGGGTCAAAATTTTGAATAATCAAAACGATTATAAAATACGAAATAAACATCCGGTTCTCTTCATATTTCACACATCCCATTATTTCTACTAACAAAAGATCTGCTGTGAAAATTGGATATATCGGTCCACTCCTTGTGGTACCTCCCACACAAAGGGTCAAAATTTTGAATATCCACGCATTTCATAAAACGCCAAATTAACATCCGATTCCATTCAGATTTGGCACATCTTAATACTTTCATCAACACAACATATGTTATAAAAATGGGAGGGATCGGATCATTCCTTCTGGTACTTCCCCCCACAAAGGATCAAAATATTCAATAACCAAAACGATTATAAAATCCGAAATAAACACCCGGTTCTCTTCATATTTCACACATCCCATTATTTCTACTTACACTATATCTGCTGTATAGGTGGGATATATCGGTCCACTCCTTGTGGTACCTCTCCCACAAAGGGTTAACATTTTGATGAATATCCATGAAGCTCATAAAACGCCAAATTAACATCAGATTCCATTCAAACTTGGCACATCTCAATATCTCTATCAACACAACATCTGTTATAAAGATGATAGAGATCGGACTGTTCCTTTCGGTACCTCCCCCACATAGGGTTCAAGATATTGAAAAACAAAACGCTGAAAGGAAGCGAAATAAGCATCCGATTCACACATCCCAGTATTTCTACTTACACTAGATCTACTGTGAATATGGGATATATAGGTACACTCCTTGTGGTACTTCTCCCACAAAGGGTCAACATTTTGAATATCCACGCAGTTCATAAAACGCCAAATTAACATCCGATTTCATTCAGACTTGATACATCTCAATATTTCCTTTAACACAAGATCAGTTATAAAGACGATAGAGATCGAACCATGTCTTCTGGTACCTCCCCCACATAGGGTTCAAGGTTTTGAAAAACAAAACGCTTAAAGGAAGCGAAATAAGCATCCGGTTCTCTTCATATTTCACACATCCCATTATCTCTACTTACACTAGATCTGCTGTGAAGATGGGATATATCGGTCCACTCCTTGTGGTACCTCTCCCACAAAGGATCAACATTTTAAATATCCACGCAGTTCATAAAACGCCAAATTAACATCCGATTCCATTCCAGACTAGGCACATCTCAGTATTTCCATCAACACAAGATCTGTTAAAAAAATGGGAGGGATTGGATCATTTCTTCTGAGACCTTTTCCACATTGGATTCAAGATTTTGAAAAGCGAAAAAAAGCATCAGTCAAAATTTATTTTAATATTCGACCATTGGCTAAGGGTATACATCTATGGGTAAAACCGACTGATTCTTTTTAACTTGTTCTGGAGAATTTTATTAATTTCAATGCGGTTTGAGGCCAATATCATCCGATTTGAAGTAGTTGTATAGATTCTACTTGTCCAATGTCGCTCCTAGTAACTAAAAATAACACCCTTTATAGGAAAGTCCATACTACCCTTCAATCTTTCAAAATAGTTTGTACTTTTGAATAAAATAGTTTGAACTTGTTTTCCTAATTTCATTAAACTAATGCCGTTCTCTCTCTCTCTCTCCTATTCCCCCCCCCCCCCCCCCCTCTCTTTACAGCTTAACAAAATGCAATTGGAAGAGCTGACAAATCATCGTTTCCAACTCAAATCCATTGATCCCAATCGACCCAATATCAATATGATTTGCTATGCCTCCAACACGGAGGCATGTCGCAATTGGTTGGACACGATACGCAAACAATTGCAGTTTCAACATGATTTCCTTAATGCTCTCATCAGGCCCATTGCCTATCAACAGCAGCAGCAGCAACAACAGCAACTGCAAAAGCAACATAGCCAAGTAAACAATGAGCAGCTATAACCAGCAATCCATGATTATTACTAAAAAAAAATCCCTAAAAAAAATGTCGATGATGATTTCATTCATTGCGAGCGCCTAAAAGTAGACACCATAATTTGTTTAGTTCCACAACCAAATTGGAGAAATCAAAAGAAAAACAAAAAACAAATGGAATATTTTTTGGAAAAAAATCAAAGAAATTTAAACAAAAAATTACAAAAAAAGTCAACATTTTAAATGTGCACTCTAAATTATTAAAAAAAACAAGAACACACACACATACCATTCACCCAAAAATATTAGCGAAAGGAAACAAAACCAAACTTTAGTAACAAAATTTATGTGTGCTCAGTTTATATAAATTATACTCAGTTAACAAACAACAACAAAAAGTAGTAGAAGAACAAGAAAAACAACAAAATTATTTATAAATTATTATTACAAAAAATTAAAAAAAAAACTAATGTAAATTATTTCAAATCTATGTTTAGTAAAACCAAAAAGAAAAAAGTGTAATACATTTGTGTCGAGAGACCAGACCCCCAGTATCTGTCCTGGGAAGACAATGCAAAATTTTGGTATGTAAAATTTTATTTGTGTTTGAGAAACTGATTAGGAAAGGATTTATGGCGCAAAGCAAACGATGAACGATGTGTTTTTTTAGGAAAAGAAAAAGAAACACACACACAATAGATGAATTCTAATTAAGAAGTATTACTTCGATGCAATTTAAAGCTGTCTTATATATTTTTAATAACATTTATGTCTTATTATTATTATTTTTCCACAATTCTAAATGTAATTTTAATTTACAAAAAACTCCCGGCCAGTTAAAAGCCAAGTAGTTACTCCCAGTCATATAGAAATAAGCATGAAACCACAAAAGAAAAATATTTCCAAATCAACAAACAAACGGACGGACGGACGGGCAGACAGGAGGACGGACTAACTTAAAACCTAGTAGCTATTCATCTATCTATCTATACCTTAATATAGAGGACCTGTAACTAATCCTTAAATGACTTTAGGTTTCCAAAACGACGATTGCATTTGCAAGACACCCCAATATCACCCACACCTACAACAAAAAGGCCCTCATGCAGACATAAATCACAACTCCCCCCCAAGCAAGTTCCCCTCATTATTTCGTTTAAATTATTTCAAAGCAATTAATTTTTTTAAAAAAAGAAAACCTCAAAAGAAAATCATTGAAGAAAACCACAACAACTCCTTAGTTTTTAGTCCTAATTTTAGTATTATTACAATTATGATTATTCTAATTAATAATAATTTTTGCAATGTGTAAACGATTTTCTTTTTTTTTTTTTCATTTTTTGTATTTATATATATATATTATTGTAAACCATTTAATTTTAATGATGATCTATATATACAAATATATTTTACTCTTTTTATTTTTTGTATAATAAGTAATTTTTAAGTGCTATCTGAGTGATTCTAAATAATAAGTATTTTATTATTACATACATACAAACAAACAAAAAACCACATGCAAACAACAACCTACACACCTACATAAGAAACAAAACAATTATTATTATTATATATTTTTTTTAATTTGTATTCTATTATTATTTTTTTCTTCTCTTTCGAATAACTCAAAGTTTTTTAGAAATCTACAAAAAAAATATATACATATATAAATAAATACAAATATAAATAACGTAACATAACATTAATATACTTATATATACAGAAGCGAAACAACAACAACAAATAAAATACATATATGAAAACAAAAAAACAACAACATTATGAAACAATTATTTTGCAAACCATTTTAGTTTTCGTAGACCAAATTAAATTTAGTTTCAAAAATTAGAGGAAATCAAAAGCGAATTTTGGAAATGAAGGGAGAAAAAATGGCTTTATGAAAGATTAATTTAAGAGGTAACCTAGGGTAGGTTATAGGACGCGCGGTTGCCGTTTGGTAACCGCTCCACTCGGAGACCTACAGGCTCATTGTGTTCATCCTAGAAAGAATAGTAAAAGAAAGGAATGTGTGATGGAAGAGAGTGAAGATAGAAAATAGAATTATAGAGTGTGATCTACGGCTAAAGAAGTTGCCGTGTCGTCTTTAGCCTTGAATCTTCTTGACTTGAATCTTCTGGCTAATTGAAGAATTACTGTAGGTTCAGTGCTAGAAAAAGAAGACAGATCATGTGACACTAGTTCCCCCATCAATCTGTGTCTCACGCTAATGAGTGCTGGGCAGTGGCAGAGCAAGAGTTCGACTGTCTCCATTTCTTCTTCATCTTGGCAGATCCTACAGTAGTCAATGTTATCGCTATCCCATTTCGAAGTCATTGCCCTCACCTTACAGTGACCTGTGATGATACCCACCACAAATTTTAAATCATGTTTCGGCAATGACAGTAGCGACTTTGTTCTCTTCTCCGAGAGTATGGGCCACATTCTTTTGGAGATGGTACAACCCCTTTCGTCCAGCCATATGTGTTGGATTCTCTCAGAGTAGTGTCTGTGAATAACCTCTAGGAAGTGGCACAGTGGTGGTTTAAACGAGTTCTCTACTTCAATTGTAGTTGATTCGGATCCTAGCCTAGCCAATTCGTCTGCAGTCTCGTTGTCTGGAATATTATAATGACCAGGAACCCAAAGGAGCTTGATGGACAACCCAGTGTTTTCCAAGGCTCTTCTGCAGTTCAAAACAACCCTAGACTTAATGGTGTAGGAATATAAGGCCTTCAGTGCTGCCTGACTATCGGCGTATATAGTCACCGGACCGCTAACCTCACTATTCCTCGTGAACAGCAGGTCTGTGGCTTTTTTGACCGCAAAGATTTCCGCCCGGAATACGCTACAGTCGTTTCCAAGCTTGTAGGATTCACGAACATTAAGGGTATCACAGAAGACACCAGATCCCGTTCCACATTCCATCTCGGTCGGTATAAACAGCTATGCCGCGGTATGTGTTAGGTATGTGTATGGCAGGCTCAACCGTGGTGAAATATAGCCACTTGTGTTGGCTTCCACTCCCAAATTCTTTACACGTTTTAGAATCGCAGAATGTCCAAGGGATTGACTGCGACATTCATTTAGTTCTCTGAGTCGAAAAGCACAAAGAGGTAACCTAAAAATATTTATAATTTGTTGACCTGGGATATTGTTAATACGTATAATCACCTGAAATGAAGGAATTACTACAAATTTCCAAAAAGTTTCAAAAATTTTAATTTGATTTTGAATTTGAATTAGTTTTCTACAAAGTCCGAATTTCCATGAGACAAGTTTAATTGCGACAAATCTCTTTGCCCAACTAAGAGGGCAAGAGAAATGAAATTGGAAAAAAATTGTTCGTGGCTACAATTTTCTTGTGTCTTTTGATTTCTTTTTCTTTCAATACCAAATCAGCTGTTATTTGGGAATTTTAACCTTATGTAGGTTAAGTTTATGCTATAGCCCCTTAAAACGGGGTTGATATATTTGGGTTCTCTGTAGGTGGATTAGCTCCTCTCAAATATATCCCCCCTTTTAGCAGAATTTGCAAGAGATCGACCGAACTTATTGTCTTTTTTTTCAACAGCCAGTGAAAGGGCCGAATAATAAATGAACGTTCGTGTCAAATAATCCAATTACATTCGTTGTCAAGGGCGATTTTTCTACAATATGGGGTTATTCAACTGTTAAACGGTTAGGGACCTCTTACAGACGAGGGAATGACAGTGATATCAAGTTCCTCGTCAGAAAGAGCTGAGTCATTTCCAAAGCCAGAGGGAACACTCTCCTGACGGAGTCTCAGTGTCTTAGTCTTCTGCTGATGAATGCAGTCATGGATAACGTCATTGTAAGTCAGGATCGTATCGTAACCTCCCCAATTTGTACTCGTGTCCTTTGAACGATCCCGGGTCGTTGCTTCTTCCGAAGCAATTCGGTCATTGATAGTTGTTGCGGTTTTTAGGTTTGCAAACGGAGGAGCACTGATGGGCGCGGTTTACGTAACACCCCAGCGCTTGGAGTCGTTTATCCCGGTAGTCCAACACCGATCACTGGTTATTTATGGACGCCAGCTATTCGCCCCGTCGAACCAAACATCACGAGCACTCGGACATTTGTTCCGAGACTCTCCCCCTGGTACCACTGAGCTGTCCGTGACTGCTTATTTAATTCGCAGATGCCCAATATATCTATTGGACTTTCAACTGGACGCGTCCGGTAGCATCCAGCTATGCTTCCGCGAACGGACGGACAAGTAGTAAACTCATGGTAAGTAGGGAAAGAAAATGTCCATTAGCCAAACAATTAGAATTTAAGAGAAAATTGACCGACAAACAGTAAATAGGACCTGTTTACTTTTATCGAAAGAAAATAAATGGGAATTGGGACGTTCTCAAGATTTAGAACTCTCTTTAAAAGAACTCTTGAAATGTATCCTGGTAATATCTGCTAAAACTTCGACATAGAATTCGGGTGGATTCTCTTTTTTAGCCTCTCTTATTATACCCTCCACCTTGTATTGTGTCTAGGATGGTTTGTATTGGAAATGAGATATATCGGTCCACGTTTTAGTATAGTCCCCATATACGGTACCTTCCAATATTCGATGTTTTGATAATTTTTGCCACATTTTTTCACGGATTTGTCTGAAAATTGGTATTTGTATGTCGTAATGGGTCCTAGTGTGTGTGGCAAAACATTGTATGTATAGGTCCACGCTTTGGTATAGCCCCCATATATCGGCACCTACCCATATTCCGGTTTTGATGATTTTTGCCACATTTATTTTAAGTATCTATCTAAAAATTGGTATTTGTTGGTCATAATGGGTTCTAGCTCCGGTGGCGAAATATTGCATGTATGGTCTCCTTTTTGGTATACCTCACATATAACGGTACCTCCCGATATTCCGTATTTCGATCATTTTTGCCACATCTTTTCATTTTTGTCACAATCTCGCGGTTTTGTTTAAAAATTGGTTTTTGTGGGTCCTAATGGGTTCTAGCTCCGTTGGCGAAGCATTGTATGTATAGGTCCACATTTTTGTATAGCCCCATAAAGCGGTACCTCCCGATATTCGATATTTTCATGATTTTTCACACATTTTCCCACGAATATGTCTAAAAATAGGTATTTGTGAGTCATAATTGGTTCTAATGTTTCCATTATCCTAAGATGGAGGGCCAAACTTAATGTATTTTTTTTTTTTTTTTGTTTTTTAATATTTTTAAAAACTTTGGCCACAAAATTACAATGAGCCAATGAAGAGGTACAATTTAAATCTATTCTTTTAATGTTTGCAAATTTTTATATTTATTTAAAATATTATTTCTAAATCTAATTTGAATAGTTAGCATTGATGAGCTGGAAAAAACTATGTAAATATATATACAAAAACGAAATGTGCATTGTGAGTAAGTATATAAATATACAAATAATAATAAAATATATAAAATATACACAGTATGTATGTACATGTTGTATGCCTTGTGTCATATAGCATAAAAATATGTGGTAAATTAATTAATAATACAAATAATAATCATTGTTGTTTATGAGTGTGTAACGATAGAGATAAATTAACAAAAAAACTAAATAAGGAATCTGATGATATGTATCTAGGGCGGATATACTTTTGGTACTTACAAAGAAAAAGAATGGAAAATACAAAAAAAAATGCATAATTTATAAAAAGAAAACTACTTCAAGTACAGAAATACTCAAAAATGGAAACGTTTGCATACAATTAACAAATACAAATAAAAATAATTATTAAAAAAAGAAAACAAAACAAGAAACACCATTAGAATATAATTGTTGTTTTTGTAAAATAAATATGTAACCAAAAAATACTTTTCAAAACTTCAAAAATAATCACGGAATGCAAAAAAACAACTACAAAACAAAAAATATAAAACCTATTAAGAAGCACTACTTATAGACAGCAATTCGGATGGAAAGTGTTGTAAAAACCTTTGAAATAAACTTTTTTCCACAAAAATATAAATGTCTTTATATACTACTACTACTACTACTCAAATTTACATATATATATATATATATATATATACCAACTAAATACTTGCAATAGAATCATAAAACAAAAACAGTAAGAAAAGGAAACAAAAATGCCATGAAACTAAAGACAGCTGATCTGAAATGAAATGAAATTAAATGAAATGGGTCCCTGCTGCTACAAAATAAAAACGGAAAAACTTAGAAACAGTATAACACTTGATGTTATAGGAAAATTTATTTTTTATACATCAAAAATGCAACAACAGCAAAAAAAATAATAAAAGAAACAAACGCACCAACAAAAAGCATACATAATATATAAGCCAAGATATAATAGCACACCAACAAAAAAAATCGTATAAGGAGACAAAACAAAAACAATATCGAAAATTTATTTGTTTAAATCAAAATTCAAATAAACTAAATTAATATATAACTACTTACTTCTCAAAATAAATATCCCCCCAAATAAATAGAAAATCCTACCAAACACACACACATACATACATAATATATATAACTATCTACCTTCTTACTTGTTAATATTATGCTAATTACAATTCGAATCTATATATATTTAAGTATGAAAGAAGAACAAACCCATCAACAATACTATAATTTCATACAACTATAACAAAAAAAGAAATACAAAATAAATCAAAATAATACCAACAAGAATATTTTGGAGTTTTATTTATTGTCCTACTCCAGAAGAACGTAAAAAATTTTACTGCATTAACCAATTTTCCCAATATTACATTAAAAAATGTCGGAAATAGCCTCAAATTTTAGAATAAGTTTAGATTTGTTCGAATTGGTCACCTTGGGCACGAATAGTCCAACGGATTGGAATCCGGAGATTTTGGTGGCCATTGTGCGCTATAAATGAAGCACGCGCCACCCAAGAATGGGTGCATTTTTGAAATCTTTAGAATTGAGATTCCTTAGAAGGCCTTAATTTTGGAATAGAGTGTATTTGGCAACATTACAGATAACAATACGAGGATTAGTTTGGTCGACAATTTTAAACCTGAGTCACAAATGAGTTTTTTGTCCTCTTTTCAAATTGTGCTCCAAAACTCACTTTAAGCGGCATCGTAGCAAGTCAAAATATTCCACAAAATTATTTGTCATAAAATTCTACTGTAGCTCCCAGAAGACATCAAAAGTCTGAATCTAAACTAAACGACAGGAATTTAAAAATATTGAAAACACACATCGTACTTCATACGAGTTTATGCCAAATCCTCAACACAAAACATCATTTTAGCAGGATGGCATCAAAGACAAAAAAAGTCTTCATCAAATTTCACTATAGGTTCCCAACGAAAAGAAATCTCTATTTCCATTATAGATCAAGAAAATATTGGCATCATTGCTAACGAAAAAACGCGCAAATATTTTCTATTTTTTTTATGAATTTTTTTCCACGCCTTTTTTAAGTTGATGCTTGGAAGTGACATAAAACTTCGTTTTAGAGAGGATTTCTTAATGGAAAATATATTCTACACAAAATTTCACTATAAATCTCAGAATAAACTATTTACCTAGGTAGTATAGTTTTTGAGAAAATTATATTCCAAATTTATATATTACAATTGAAACTTATGGGTTTAATTTTTTACTCCCTTTTTAAGACTTTTCCATTCTACATCAAAATTGCCCTTAATACTCCATTATTTGGAAGAAGTTACAAAGGATGAAATATTCTCCATCAAATTTAATTATAAATCTCAGAATGAACCATATATCTAGGTATTATACTTTTTGATAAAATTATATTCCAAAAGCATATATTACAATTGAAATTTAAGGAATTACGTTTTTTTACTCCCCATTTAACACTTTTCCATTCGAAGTCAGAATCTGCCCTAATACTTCATTATTTAGGAAAAGTGTCAAAGAAGGAAATATTCTCCATCAAATTTCACTATAAATATCAGAATATATTATATATCTAGGTATTATAGTTTATCATAAAATTATATTCTAAAGTCATATATTACAATTGAAATTTATGGGTTTACGTTTTTTACTCCTCATTTAAGACTTTTCCATTCTAAGTCAAAATCTCCCTTAATGCTTCATTAATTGGGAAAAGTGTCAAAGAAGGAAATATTCTAGATCAAATTTTACTATAAATCTCAGAATACATCTAGGTACTATAGATTTTGAGAAAATTATATTCCAAAGTCATATAATACAATTGAAAATTAAGGTTTTACGTTTTTTAACTCCTCATTTACCACATTTCCAGAGTCAGAATCTCCCTTTATACTTCATTATTTGGGGAAAGAGTCAAAGAAGAAAATGTTCTCCATCAAAACTACCAGAACTCAAGATACCTAATTAAAGCCCTTTAATTTAAAATTTGGAGCTAAACGAAAATCAGGAGGAGGTTACACCAAATAATAACCTATATTGGAATTTTTCTGCAATAAGGATTATTAATTTCTATAGGCTTGAAAGATCAAGGTACGGTTGATTTTATGGGAAAATGTATCCAAACCCTTCATATAATTTCTCGCCCAAACATTAGACCCATATCGATGATTTTTGAGAGGATATTTTTCATACTACAAATTCCAAATGCCACAAAGGGCAGCTAAGGTTAAATCACCCTAAGTACATTAAAAAATTATTTATTTAATGAAATATTTTTAATATACCATTTAAAATACATTTTTCTCATTTTAATTCAAAAAAAATCATATTCTCACATAATTCCCTCCATTTCACATTGCCGGCTAAGTACTCGATAATCATAGTACACTTTCATTGCAACTCTGCACCATGACACTACTAATTGCAAAGAACAAAGCCGCTCGGCAAAATTCCTTGACGCCAATAGAAATTTGCAAAAAAAGTTTTGTTTTCTGCGAAACATTGCAAGCAAATGGAGAAGCATATTTCTAAAATTAAAGTTCCCTGTGGAAATCAGCCAATATATAAAGATGAATGTGTCTATTCATATGATAATCCCGAGACTCCAACGGGTCTTTATGTCAGCCTAACCAGTTTCCTTGGTTTTGGTGAGGAATATGTTCGGAAATATGCCGAAAAGTCAGGCAATTGTGTGTTTTTGCACATACGCCGGGAAAAAATACCCATTGAAGATGACCAAGTCAAGAGTGGCGATGAAGCCGGGCCTGAACGTAAAATAACACGTTTGGCCATTGGCCTTGAGGGGGGATACAATGATGCGAATAGCAAAAAATATGAATACAAAGATCATTACAGTGTTGTGGTGGCTCCAGATATAGAAACGAAAATTCCTTACCCCAACAATGACTTGCCATTAATTGTAACACAATCGGTTGAGGCGATATTGGCCCAAGAATCAGCCATATCACAACTCGAGAAGCAGACATTAACCGGTAAGTGCAATGTAAATTTTATATTTACCCCCATTCTCTAATTCCTTCCCATCCACCAGGCACTTGGGATGGTGAGGTACGTGTGGTAACCAAATACTCTGAAAACCTAACCCAATTGAATAATGGCAAAAAGATTCCTCCCTCTGGGTGGAAGTGTGAAAAATGTGATTTGACCAACAATTTGTGGTTGAATTTGACTGATGGCTCGATTTTGTGTGGCCGCAAGTTCTTTGATGGTTCCGGCGGCAATGACCATGCCGTGGAACATTATCGTATAACAAACTACCCCTTGGCCGTTAAATTGGGTACCATAACCAAAGATCGCTCGGGTGCCATAACGGCCGATGTATTTTCATATCCCGAAGATGATATGGTTGTTGACTCACACCTTGAACAACATTTGACCCACTTTGGCATTAACATTGCTGCCATGAAGAAAAGTGAGAAATCAATGGTGGAATTAGAGCTGGAAATCAATCAACGTATTGGAGAGTGGTCCCTACTAACGGAGAGTGATAGCGAGTTACAACCTTTGGCTGGACCAGGTTATACTGGAATGCGCAACTTGGGCAATTCATGTTACATTAACAGTGTAATGCAGGTATTGTTTACACTGCCAGATTTTAAATCGCGATTTGTGGGCCAAGGAGCTGAAAAGTATTTCAACGAATTTCCAGCAGATCCAGCAAATGATTTCAATATCCAAGTAGCAAAGTTGGGCAATGGTTTGTGGAGTGGTAAATACAGCAGCATATCGGAGAACACCTTGGATTCTGAAAGCACCGGCATTTCCCCGGCCATGTTTAAAAATCTCATTGGCAAGGGCCACCCGGATTTTGGCACAAAACAACAACAAGATGCCTATGATTTTTATTTGCATTTCATTAATTTATTGGAACGCCACTCACGCAATCAATTCAATCCCATTGATTCGCTTACATTTGGTGTAGAGGAGCGTGTGGAGTGTATGGCTAGCAAAAAAGTTAAATACACCAGCCGTGAAGAATACTGTCTTCCATTGGTTATACCGCTGGAAAAGGCCACCAATTTGGATGAAGTCAAAGAGTATTTGGAGAAAAAGGCTGAATGCCCGGCAGGAACCACAAATGATATAGTGCGCCATAAGGTTCCCCTGCAGGCTTGCTTGGAACGCTTCTTTGCCGATGAAATTATTGATCAATTTTATTCAACGGCCATTAAGGATAAGACTACAGCTAGGAAAACTGCCCGTTTGGTTAATATGCCTGATTTTCTTATGATGCATTTACGTAAATTCACCTTGTCCGATGATTGGGTACCCAAAAAGTTGGATGTGGCCGTTCAAATGCCCGATGAATTAGATTTGTCAAATTGGCGTGCCACAGGTAAACAGGCAAATGAAGAAGAGCTACCTGAATGCGAGGTAGCAAAACCTGCATTTGTTTTTGATGAGGGCATTTTGTCGTCATTGGTACAAATGGGTTTCCCGCCAGAGGCATGCAAACGGGCCGTGTTTAATACGAAAAACAGTGGCCTAGAAGCAGCATCCAATTGGTTAATGGAACACATTGGTGATGCAGACTTCTCGGATGAGTTTGTAGTGCCCGAGGCAAATGCCTCTCAGGGCGGTAATGTGTTCACCCCTAACCCCGAGAGCCTTGCAATGCTCATGAGCATGGGCTTTAATGAACAGCAGGCCACCAAAGCCCTCAAGGCCACAGATGGTAATGTAGAGCGGGCCACAGACTGGATATTTTCTCATGTCGATGATATGGATGTTGCTGAGGACACAGCTACTGAGACTGCCAACGAGGCCGCCGACAGCAATGCAACAAAAAAGAATTATCGCGACGGCAGCGGTAAATATAAACTGGTTGCCTTTATTTCACACATGGGCACATCCGCCCAAGTGGGTCATTATGTTTGTCACATCAAAAAGGACGGTCAATGGGTCATATTCAATGACAGCAAAGTTGCTCTCTCACAAAATCCACCCAAAGATCTGGGCTATCTGTATCTATACAAACGTGAAGAGTAAAAGATGATGATGAGAAATCTGCAAGTGTTCTGTCCCCCTAGTCTTTGGTTAAAAAAATGCGACAAATTCAAAGCTTTTTTTTATAAATGAAAGAAAATACATTACAACTTAAACTCATGCCTCTGTACTGTTTTCGATAAGAAAAATTCTGATATTAAATAAAAAGAGAATTTCTAAAGAAATAAAAAGCATACTGCGTCCCTTTCTGAACTCCTGAGTCATTGTCTATAAAAAAAAAATAATAAAATAATCATTTTTTATAAAAAAAAATAGCTTAAGTCATGAGAATTTCATAACAAACCACATACATCCATGTCTGAGTCATGTGTGGGAAAATATCAAGGAACCTTGAACCATACATGGGTCAAAATTTAAAGAAAAATCCGTTTCATAAAAAATGCAATCATGAGAATAAAAAAGAAGCTCATAATAAAACACATGCATCCACTCATGTCTGAGTCATTTTCAGATAATGACGTAGTGCTTTTCCCATAACTTTTTCCATGAATCAAACACACATACATTTAATTTTTAACCAACGGGCTTTCTTTTGGTTTAATACTTCTTTTAAGTTTTGGTTTATTCATTTTTATTTTTTAAATTCTTAGTCAAATCAATCACAATATCATCAAGTTTTTGAGCAAATGCTTCAAAGGAGAATTTCTGTTGGACACGTTTGTGACCCATGACACCCATGCGCTCTCTTAGCCGGTCATCTTTTATTATATTCGCCATGGCCGAGGAAAATGACTCCTCTTTGGGATCACATAAATATCCCGTCGAATTGTGTACAATGGTTTCTGTGGGACCGCCTGAATTCACAGCTATTACCGGTTTGGACATGTACATACCTTCCAAAGGTACAATGCCAAAATGTTCATTGGCCGGAGTATAGAGCAAACAGTGGGACGTGTGTAACAACATGAATTTCTCATCATCCGAGGGGGAACGCAACAGCACCACATTGTCCTGCAGACCATTGTCCTTAACCAAATCACTCAACTCATTGTAATGTTCAACATTTTCCACAACTCTGGTGTCATAACCACCGGCCACAATTAAACGACAGCGTTTCCAATCGCTGGCACTCAGATTTTTGCCCAATTGGCAAAATGCCTTTAAGGCCAAAGGATGGTTCTTTTTGCGTTCATAACGATTTATATCGAGGAATACAAAGGAGTTGCCGGGAAAATTTACCGGTAATGATGCCAAGGACCCCGCCTCATTCGCCAGTATTTTTTTCTGCATATCATCAAAATACTTAGTATTCAACGAGGGATACAAAACCTCAGGCACAACATTAAGACGTCGGAATGTTTCCTGGAAGACACGTAGCGTAAACTTTGAATTCACCAATGTCACATCCGACATGCCAATGGTAAACTCTTCCATGAAATTTATGGGTGCACGATACAGCCGCTTTAGACAACCACCCTCGGCGCTCAGCAACTGATCTGGAAAATGACAATAGAACACAATCTTTGGCCGGCCTCTGGCCAAGCGTAATACAGGAATGCCAATTGAAATCTGATCACAAAATATCACATCATACTGCTCCCGGCTGCTCAAGTAGAACGAAGCAAAAAACGCTGCATACAACATACGGAAATAGGCACAAAATGCATAGAAACGTCCAAAGATTTTCCTGGGCAGCCAATCACCAACAACTCGTACTTGGAAGCTACCATCCACGGTTTCTTTGAAACAATGACTGGGGTCATGATGATTTGTTAGGAAGCTGACGTCGTGGCCACGCAACTTTAAAGCCAATGCGGCATCGACAACAAGACGTTCAGCACCACCAATTCCCAAATCAGGATGTAAGAACAGAACACGAACCATTATAAGCCGGAAAATAGATTCTTATCTCCGAAAACCACATCAAACATCCAATATGCTGCTGCGCTGCTTTGGTTACTCTGTTTGCTCTCTGGAATGTGAAGAAGGGTGCTAGAAGATCGAAAAATTCTATATTAAAGGGCTCTAGAAGATCGAATGTATCTATTGTAAAAGGTTTCTAGAAGATAGAATTGTTCTATACAAAACGACTAGAATTTTGGAAAATACGGTCAAAAGGGCTTTTAAGTTTAACATTTTTTTAAAATTTTCTTATAAAGGAAAAATCGCAGAAAACAATTTACGATCACGCCAGTTTCGTAACAGAGCAGTTGTAACCATCATATATCTTGGGTGTTATAGATTTTAAAAACAAAAACCCCATTCGATAACGCAATAATAAAAAGATTTAATAAAAAAGATTTCATAAATCAGAGCATATATATCGTGAGGTATAAGTTTTTCTTATACAACGTCAATCGGCTATTGTATATTTTTCAACAATTTCTACAAATTCCAATAATTTTTCATTCACCATTTTCAATTCCAAACTCGATATGACAGAGCATTGTCCCAGCAGCTGTGTCGTTGCGACTACTGGTATTCGGGATGATACCTATGGTTTGAATCGAAATTGGCTGTTTGTTACAGAATAATGCAGTAATTGTATATTGTTGATGCGGAATTTAGGTTTGTATGGTTTTAAGATGTCACCTTTTTGCTTATGTACCTTCACCTTCAGAACCATATTTATCAAATATTTTCAGGAAATTTTTGTACATTGTTGTAAAATTTTATTTGAATATTGGGAATTTATTAGGGTTGTACTGCAAAGTATTGAAAATCATATCATATCAAATAAAAACCAAATTTTAAACGAATACGAACGATATGAGTGAAAGTATCGAGCTATGGCCATGCCTCTTAATCTTATCATTGCTGGCGATAAAAATAATCGCTTTTTAAAATCGATATATAACGTGAGGCGAAAATCAAACTATAGTGACCTAACCGCACGTGGAGTCATTGGAATTATTTTATTTGAAAAAACAACGAGTTGTCTGAATTAAAATGGTAAAGGTACAAAAACCAGCTCCGAAATCCTTTAAGGATACCCCCAATAAACCCAACAAAGTAAAGGGCGTTAAAAAGGAAAAAGCAGTCAAAGAAGAAAAGGCCCTGCCAGCAACAAATGTTGAAGCAAAGAAGGCAAAGAAAAAACTGGTGGAAAAGGCTGTCCAGGAACAAAAGTTGCAGGAGCAAGTTAAGCCAGTTAAGAATGTAGAAAAGGCTAATAAGGAAGGACAGAAGGGTAAGGGTAAGAAGGAAAAGCAAGGGGAAGCAGCAAAACCCCAACAGGCTCCAAAAGAAAAGACGGCTCCAAAGAAACCAGTTGCTGAGACAAATCAAGCACAAAAGAAAAAGCCTGCCGCCGTAGAGAAACCACAACCTAATTCCAAAAAACAAGAAACTAAGGAACAACAAAATACAAAACAAAAGAAAAACAATGGCCCACAACAACAAGTTCAAGGGCAAAATAAGAAAGCAGCTCCTCAGCAACAGAAAAAGGAAGGCAAAAATGTAAAGAAAGTCGGCGCTGCTGCCAAGAATAAAGCCAACACCCAACAAAAAAAGAAAACTCTGAAGGCGGGCAAATCGAAACCCCAGGTGGACAAGAAACAAAAGAAAAAGAAGAAGCAAGATAAATTGGAGTCCCTGGAACCTATCCCCGTCGACGAGGAACAATTCAAGAAGGCTGTAAATTTAGAAAATGTCAAGAAGATTGCCAAAGCTCTTAAGACCTTGGTGGAAAAGGAAGTTAGCGAAAAGAAAAATGCCTCCATTTTCAGTGACTACAGATACTTTTTGAATGTTAGCAGCTACAAGATTCCCAATTGTCCCAAACGTATGGTTAAATTGTAAGTATTTCTTTATTTACATTTAAATGAATACATTTCATTCGATTTGTTCTACCCCCTCCTAGGAACCTGCAACACTCCCTTGTCAAGCCTGGAGATGACGATGTTGTGATTATTGTACCAGATCTACAACGTGGTGCCAAGGTTGATTATGAACCCACCATTCAACATTACGAGGACTTGTTCCGTGAGGCAGGTGTGGAAAACCTTAAAATTGTACCCTTCAACCAATTGCGCAAGGAATGCACAAATTTTGAGGCCAAACGTAAATTTGCCAACACCTATGATTACTTTTTGTGCGATGGTCGCATCCAAGGCCACGTGGTTGGTTTCTGTGGCAATCCCTTTCAAAAGCCACGCACAACATTCCATGCTGTGCGTTTGAATGACCCAAAAAAAATCAAACAAGAAGTTGAGCGTTCATTGAAACGTACCGGCTATAGACAGCTGACAAAGGGTGACTTGATATCCATACCTGTGGGTAATCATCATTACGGTGTAAATGAGTTGGCCGAAAACATTATGTGTGTCGTTGAACAACTGAAAACTATCTATCCCGGTGGTTGGGGCAACATTAGACACATGAATTTGAAAATTGATATTAAGGGTACCTCGTCCATGCCAATCTATGCCAATTTGGCTGGTCCACCCGCTGAAACACCCAATGTCATTGGAATGCGTGAACAACGTATGCTCAAGCTGAAGAAGGAAGCCAATGAGGTGTTGGAACAATTTAATCTCAGCAAGACTGGTGAATTTGTGAAATTGGATAAGGAACAAGTTCAGCGTAAACGTCAAATTAAAGAGGCTCGCAAGGCAGTGTTGGTGAATGAGGATGATGATGAGGAAGAAGAGGAGGATGAAAATGAGGAGGTGCCAGCCAAAAAGGCAAAGAAAGATAAAAGTGCCAAACCTGTAACAGAAGAGAAGGAGGAGGAAGATGATGATAGTGAGGATGAGGAAGAAAATGAAGTTGATGGGGATGAAGATGATGATGATGAAGAAGCGGAAGATGATGATGACGAGGAGGATGATGATGATGACGATGAAGAAGATGATGATGACGAGGAGGAGGATGATGAGGATGAGGACGACGATGATGATGAATAAAGTAATTACATTTAGCCCTTAGTTTTATGTTAAGTTTTTATCCATAGTTCCCTTTATACTTTTTATTATGTACATTACGTAGTACATAAAGAATAAATGCATTTTAGAACTAGAATAATATCTTAAAGGCCCATTCTCTTTCGATATGTTTGCCACTAAACAACAAGGTTTTAAACTATTCCGGTGAAAAATGTCGCTAATATCATCAAAATACCGAATATCGAGAGGTACCGTTATAGGGGGGCTCTACGAAAACGGGGACCTGCACAGACAATTTTCTGTCATAGGCTGTAGTATCCATTACGAACTTTAAATACCAAATTTGAAAGAATTCCGGTGAATAAATTCGCTAAAATCATCAAAATACCGAATATCGGGAGGTACAGTTATATGGGGGCTATACGAAGACGTGGACCTGCACAGACAATTTTCTGTCTTAGGCTGTAGTATCCATTACGAGCTTCAAATACCAAATTTGAAACAAATCCGATGAATAATGTCGCTTCAAAATACCGAATGTAGGGAAGTGCCGTTATATGGGCGCTATACGAAGGCGTGGACCTACACAGACAATTTTCTATCTTACCAAATTTGAAACGTTTTCGGTGAATAATGTCGCTAAAATCATCAAAATACCGAATATCGGGAGGTACCGTTATATGGGGGCTATACAAGACGTAGACCTGCAAAGACAATTTTCTGTCTCAGGCTGTAGTATCCATTACGAACTTCAAATGCCAAATTTGAAATCTTTCTGGTGGATAATGTCCCTTAAAACACCGAAAATATGGAGGTACTATTAAATATGGGCTATACCAATTTTCAATACCAAAATTCCTGCAGGCATAATATACATTTGAGTGAAATTTTCTCAACCTACTTCATTTCGTCCGGAAGCTAGAGTGCTTTCCACAGACGGACGGACATCGCTAAATCGACATATTTGATATTAAATATTAATTGTTTGTAAATTAAAAACGGCTAAAAAATGGAGTTTCTGAATAAAATGTATTATTAAATTAAAGGAATATGTTTGTTATGGTTATGGTAGAAATACCATGGTCAGAGGTACTGAATACAAACCTGGTATCATGGTAGAAGAATATAGCTAGACGCATCGACACTGCTGCTGGGACAATGAACTGTAAAATCAATTTTGGTATCGAAATTGTTGAATGAAAATTTACTCAAATTTGTAATTATTGTTAAAAAAAAATGCATATTATAACAACCCCCGATTGGCGTCATGTAGGAAAACATATACAAATATACTTATTTTTGAAGAAATATTAAAAAAATGTTGGCATATCAATGTTCCCAAGCGTTGATGCATCTACCTGTATTTTTCTACCATGGTTACAACTGTTATTTTTTCTTTATTTTCTTATGTTGATGTTTCTTAATATTTTTTTATATTCTCCTTATTTTGCTTTTAATTTCCATTTTTAATATTTATATTTTTTCTGTTGATTTGTGGCCTTCAGTGAGTTTCTTTGCATTGATTTTATATAAATTGAAATTGGTTTGCCACATATTAACTATTATCCTGTGTAAACCCATTGTTGTCAATTTCGTCATTCTTCCATTCGTTTATCATTAAAATACCCGATCTAGTCAAAAGTCGACCTAAATAACCCTAATTCTAATTAGAACTTTCTGCCGCCGACGCAAAGAATCCTTCCGCTCGGTTGTCTGTACGCGAAACGAGAGTAAAGAAACAAACAATTTTTGTGTGAATAAAAACGAAAAAGTGTTGAAAATAAATGTGTGAAAATAATGTCCTGCCGGAAATTTGTGTGAAAAAAGCGACAACTCAATAACGGCTTTGGTGAATACATATTTGTTTGTTAAATAGAATTTCCTGGTACCACAAACAAGGCGAAAACAACAAACGAGACAACAGTCTGACATTCAGTCACTTCACTTAAACAAAAAAGTACGGAGTCTTTTGTGATATTCCTCGATAGATTGAGTTCAGAAACCGAAAAAAACCTTATCTTTTTAAATCAACGTTTTGGAAACACAAGGGGGACTTTTGGTATAGATGAATAATAATGTTTTTTCGATTTTAAATGTAAATGACATTTTGTTGTCTTTTTTTAGGCTCAATATTCATTCACTTCTTGGAGCAATTAAGTAGTGTATTCAGACGTGGGAAGCAGAATGCTTGGAAAACAATTGCTTTGTGCCAAGTAAATTCCGTTTTTAGTTAATTTTCCTCCATACAGAACATTTTGTTGTGGAAAGTTTTTTTTTCGTCAGCCACAACAATAATTGATTATTAAAAACACATGTCTTGACCCATTGAGAACCTTGGAAGCGATGGATTTTGTCAAGCCCTCGTAATAAGTTGTAAGGATGTATTAAAGGTGTTTGCTGTCCCTCTTTTGTGTCGTGATTTAGAAAGAAAAGTTTTAACGTACTCCGATTTTGGAACCATCCTTAATTACCATAAAAAGTTTCCTATACCAGTCCTCCCTTAACTGAAGTGTTTTAATACAACGAAAGGATAAAAAAACATAAGTGTGATTAACTACCATGAACGCATCCTGCTGTGTGCTGCAGACTAATAAAAAGTCATGTTGGTGGCAAATGTAAAGTGACAACGGTGGTAATTTGAACAAGGCAATTGTTTGTGGAATCCCCCCAATTTAGTGGTTCATTAGCGAGCAGACAGAAGTTAACGCTGATCCAAAAGAAAATCATTATATTTAACACACACATACCTACTTTGTGTTTAATTTGTAAAGAAGAGCACAGCTCTGAAACCCTCGCCTAAATTAAGTGGCTCAGCTATAGCCACAGGGTGTTATTAATAGTGTATGAGTGAATGACTTAGTGACAATATAGATAATTTCGTATGAAAATAAATAATTAATTGTCGTTTCGAAATAATAACAACAACAATAAAAGTCAATAAACACGGAATCCATCAACGGAACGTGCAGTGTATTGCTGCTGCTGCTACTGTTGTGGCCGGCCCATCTGCCCATGCGATTTAATAAATATGCCAAAGATATATATGAAGAAACCGTTATCGGGCATGGTCATACGAAATCGTAATACCATCAAAGATGTAGTCATCACGGTAAGTTAACAAAATATGCTATTATTAATAATTATGTAGAATAATTTATATTTAATTATAGGCCGATGTAAAAGTTTGCTAGGCCTTTTGTCAAATATCCATATGTAGTATACACGTCATCCATGCCAATAGGAATTTTACTACCATTGTTTGTTCTTTTCGTGTGTGTCATATCGCATTGACAACAAGTGTTTGAAAATGATGAAGAAATTTTGTCAACTTTTCGACCGGCAGGAAAGCGAAAATGAGGTTGTTCATATGTAGCAATTTGTATACCCTACAGCATTTTGTCATACCGTTTAGAACACCCCGAAATACTTGTCGATCCTTTATAACTTTGATATATTGTTGATAAATCTTTAATTATATAGCATCTGAAATGCATTTATTCGAAAAGTTGTTCGATGGAAATCAGCATTTCCACGGAAACACCGAGGGGATACTTGGAATAGGTTCCATATAGTGTCGCTACCGGATTACAAATATAATTACCCCATTAACAAGTATGAGTTAGACTCCACGTAGCTCCGCAACATTTTAGTATTGATATCTGGACAACTAGACAACTACTACCTATTATCTAGGGTCCATATAGCCACATTGTATAAACGGGTTTCCAATAAGAGGTGTTCTTTTCATATTCAAAGAAAATTTTCCATTTTTAGAGAAACAAATTTATTTCATATGAAAGGGATAATGAATTAGCCACTACCATATTCAGTAACATCACAGGACTATATCCTTATCACGAAATCTTGCTGAACCTAATCACAAAGTGGAAAGATTTTGAATTGACGCCGACATGACACAAAAGGAAAAAGTCGGAAGGTGGAAAATCATATAATTCGGTGGACAATTTTGATTATTTCTTCGAGAGATAACTCAGTTCCGATATTTTTTCCGTGAAAGAACAATGACAAGGGGCTTCACGACGACCACATTTTTGAGCTGCAAAAAATGTGGGTTTTACTTTGAAGAGGCCGTTCAAAATCTATTGATTTACGTTTGCATAAATACTCCTCGGAACTGCCTGACAGGCTTGTTGATATAGAGGCTTCCTAGCATAGTATAGTGTTTTTTCTAGATCCTCTAGGTCCATTTTGACACACCTGAATTTCAAACGCCCGCATGACTCCCATGGTAATACCCACGAAAACTTGTAGGATTGTCGACATGCAGGATAATGCTTCGTCTCCTCGGGTAGATGGTCTACAGGTGTCTAGTGAAGGCCTCTTGTTGGAGTTTTCAGAACCGACGTTTTGAATTAGATGTTCAATGTGACCTCCTGGTTTTTATGGTAATTAGTGGTCGAAATTCTTTGCCTTTTAACCTAAAAATTCGGTTTTAATACCCTCCACCACACATAGCTCTTCCAACCGACGTTTTAAATTAGATGTTCAATGTGATCTCTTGGTTTTTATGGTCATTAGTGGTTGAAATTCTAAATTCAGTTTTAATACCCTCCACCATACATAATATGAAGGTTATATTAAGTTCGTTATTTCGTTTGTAACTCATCGAAATAATAATGTTAGACCCCTCTCATTATATACATATGTTCTTGCTCAGCGTGAAATTCTAAGACGATTTAGCCTTGTCCGTCCGTCAGTCTGTTGTAATCACGTTAGAGTCAAAACGAATAAAGATAGTAAGCTAAAATTTTGCACAGATCAGTATTTTGTCTGCAGACAGGTCAAGTTCGAAGATGGGCTATATCGGTCAACGATATCGTATAGCCCCCATATAACGGTACCCCCCGATATACGGGTTTTTGATGATTGTAGACAAATTTTTCAATGAAATTGTCTGAAATTCTGCACAAGGAGATCTCTGTGAGAACTTTACTCTCTGAAAGAGAATTGTCTATATAGGTCCACGATATCATATAGCCCCCATACAATGGTGCCCTCCGATATTGGATATTTTTATGATTTTGGCCACATTTTTCATTTGCATTGTCTGAAATTCTACACAAAGGGTTCTCTATGAGTACTTTACCCCCTAAAAGAGAATTGTCTATATAGGTCCACGA